GGGGGGGGGGGCGTGCCGAAGATTTGTTCGGCAGCCAATCGGGGCGGTTCGTTCCTTTTTGACGTCACAATCCCTAGAACCTGCAGCGGCGACAACAATAACAATACCAGGCGGGATCGTTCCCCGGAGTCGAGCAGCGAGGGGTGCGTGACCCGGGCGAGCAGCAAAAACAGCCCGTCGTGGGGACGGAGGTAGCAGTTGCTACCGTCAGCAGAGTCGGAGAGGAACGACACAGAGAGCAACTCAGGAGGGACCCAGAAATAGAAACGCTTCTTTCCCAGCAGTGATGGCCTCGAGCGAACCCTCAGGGCTGCAAGAAGAGAATTTGCAGGGTAAGAGAACCTCCTCCTTTAAAGCAAAACAAACTGTTAAATAATAGAAAAGAAATGTGGAGTCCTTTAAATACTGGGCCTCTAATAGAGGGCCTCTTACTGGGGGGAAGTTATACTTTCCTGGGCTGGTCAGAAGCAGACTTCATAGGTCACCTTGTTTTGAAGCCCCTGAGGCCTGTTATTAATATTAATATTCCCTCTGGTAGTTAGAATTCCCCTGGAATGTTTCTCCAGGGCAGGAGAAACAACGGATGAGGAAATACCAAATGGCCTGGGGTTACCTTTGCCTCATTCAAGGTTTCCTCTGTTTCCTGGGGCTATCAGACTCTTGATTTTTCTCTGCTTAATGACTTTCTCTTGCCTTGAGTTGGTTATACCTTGGCAGACTCAGCACCAGTAGGGCAGAACGGCTTTAAAATAGCCTGTGCGTGCTGGAAGGGGAGAACAGGCAGATCTGTGGCTGTAACATAGTCGTTCTCCATCTGTGCTCCTAATACCCTTGCCTGTGTGACTCAGCCCTTCATTAACAGCTTTTATGGTTGTAAATAATTGGCCTGGGAACTTATTGACACACGGTGCTTGTTCAGAGCTGACATCATGGAATTTATAGCCCCATGTAGAAAAACTTGTCGGTACATTGCAACATAAAAGGGAGTTTTCCCGTTGCCTTCAGTAGGAAATAGATTGTTTATAATCAAACAGTGTTATCTTGTCCTGTGGTTTTGTCACATAACGTGTCAGTGGAAAAGTGTGCATAGAATTACTGTTTTTAATTTTTCTTGTTTCCCTGTTCTTTAAGGAAAGTGTCAGTTTTTTGTCCAACCTGAGAGAACTTCAGTAAGCATTTCCTTGATCTTTCCAAATATTTGGTGTTGCTTACTTTCAGTTGACACACTGGGAATAACTCTCATTGAATTTGGTTGGAACTTTTGAATAGATAAGTATGATCTACTGTTGGTTGATTAATATATATTCCAGGGAAGGATACTTCACCCCAAGCACTCTAGATGTAATACAACCACACAATGCCACCCCCCACTCCCTGCACATTAAAAGAAAATTAAAATATGGACAGTTAGGAGCATAGAAGCAAATGCAGATTCTCCAGGGAAACTTAAAAAGGAAGAAGAAATTAACTCTCCAGGGAAACTGAAAAGGAAGAAGCAATTAACTATAATGCATAATTTTCATAAAATGTAAAATCTAGTACTCTTTTGCACCACTTTGCACCATTTATATTTTATGAAGTATGTAGTTTTACTTCTTAGCCTTGCTTTTTTTCAGTGTATGAAGTAAATAATACATGAATCTGGGTTTTAAGGATTATCCTTCTTTTTTTTTTTTAAGGAATACTGTTATACAAAGAGCATATATTCTCTTCTTTTCCAATTTCCTTCTTCCAAGTTACCTGGGTATACTTGGTTTCCATTCTCCTCTCTTGCAGTTTTGTTAGGTAATTCCTCATAAGACTCCAAAAATAGACTTAAGAGAAATGCAGCCACTGTGGCTTTTCTTGGAATGAAATTTGCTAGTGAAAAGGCATTGTCTGTTAATTTGCAGCCTGCCACATTCCGGTCAAAGTATTGGTGAGCTGTTATTTGCCTAAGCCTTGTGAGCAAGAACTACTGTAGCTTTTTATAATGTCAGTTTAGTTTTGCAAGGGGATGTTTCACAAGGCCTAGACTCTTTACTCTTTCAGGTTGGCCTAAAGAGATGAATTCCTTTGGGATACATTCTGCAATAGTTAGATAAAATACATTATGTGAATGTGATTTATATGTTAAGGCCGAGTGACAAAGATGGTCCATATTGTCTACTTCCTACCCCTTTTCCTTTCATTCTGCCCACTTGGCTTCCTGTTTTCACCTTCTGTTTCTGAGCATCCTGAGAATTGTAATCCATAGAATTAGGCCAGTGAACAGAACTGTAAAAATACACAGGTTGGGGCAGAAACCTGTCCCTAAATGAATAAAGGAGACAGATATTTGGATACGGCTATGATTTCCAGTAGTTTAGTTCTCTTATGCCAGTCTGTTATAGTTCCACAAAGCCCATTTTTCAGCATGGTTTCGCTCCACTTACCTTTAAGTTAGCTTGTTCTCATTTAAATTATGTGGATTCCAGTTTGTCATGTTTCCAACAACAACTAAAGATTGTTTCCCTACAAATTTTCCTACTAGCGGTGTTGCCAGTCACTCCTCATGATGATGGTATCAATATGTTATTGTTATGGGTTTTTATTGGTGGACTGCCTGGTGTTTTTGTTGTAAACCACATAAACATTTTAAGTAAAAAGGAAAAGATTAAAGATTAAAATGGTCACATCTTGGAAAATAAGCTTGTTGCACATTAAAATGAGCACCTGATTAATTTGCAGGTTTGTACTTAGAACCACCTTTCATTTAGCCATTAGATTGCTTGTATAATAAACATAGAAGCACGGCTTTTGTCCTGAGCAATATAGCACGCCACGAGATAGAGACAAAATGCTTATGCGCTGCTGATGAGGGGGGAAAAACCCATACACCACTGCCATTGCAACAGAGTTTTATTATTAACATGGAATAAGCTGGGTATTCTTTGTACCTTACTGGAATGCAAACAAAGGAGGTTGTGAAGTCAGACTTGAAGTGGCATGTCAACAAATGGAAGTGTTTGATTTCTTAACAAATCATTGTGGTTTTTGTCGTTTCTAAACTTCTACCAAGCAGGTTCCTGGGTAGAACTGCACTTTAGCAGCAATGGGAACGGGAACAGTGGCCAGCCAGCCAGCCAGGAACAAGTTCCTGCTTCAGTTTCTATTTATAATGGTGACATGGAGAAAATCCTTCTAGATGCCCAGCATGAGTCTGGAAGAAGTAGTTCACGAGAGAGCTCACACTGCGACAGGTACTTTGACACTGAGACAGCACAGGCTGCTTACAATGCATTTCCTCTTATTTCAACTGAATGTACGTACAAAACAGCCTTCCCCAGCCTAGCTGACTTTCAGATATTTCAACTGCATTTTCACCATCCATAGGCAATACTTGTCCATGAGTGGTATCCGGGATAATGGGCATTATAGTCTAACAAAATTGAAAGGTATCAGGTTGGGGAAGGTGGATATATGGCCTGATGGTAAAATCTTATGTTTGGCCTATTTAGAATACATTCTTGAAATGGATGGGACCTAGTTTAGGCAAGGCTAATATAAATGTTGTTTTGTTCTGTTTTGGTGAAAGTGTTCTAAATAGGAGTTCATTACAAGTCTGATCAGGATGATGCAATTGGCCCTGGTATTACAGCTGGTGCCCTTTCTCCTGACTGGAGACAGTGTCATCTTGCCCTCGTGGTCTGATCCATTCTTATTTCGCTTCAGTTTTTTATTTAAATGAAACTGGAGTCATCCATTAAGTGAGACATTCCAAAGCTAATAAGAGGTGTGGCTTGGGAGAACTAAGTGATCTTTCATTGTAGATTAGGGCTCTGTGCCATTTTGGGACCAGCTCCAGACCTGATTAACTTTGTGATGCTGTTTGTTTTTGAGAGCTCAGTCTGTACTTTCCTCTGAATTGTTGTAGCTCTGCAGGCCTTGTGAGTGGGCTGTCTTCCAATTCATAGGAATTTTAGTCTTGCTCCATCTCCTGAGCTCAGACAAGTCTTTGCTCTCATCTCTTCCCGCATCAAAGAGATTCAGCCTCATGTTCCTAGAGCTTCTGTCTTCCTGTACAAATTGGTTAGAACTTATCTGCCCCCTCCCCAATCCAGCCCACAACAACATAGGCACGATTATTGGGAAAAATACCCAGTTGCAAACTGCCCGTGTGCTTTCATTTTGCCTTCACAACTGTTAGGGAATTTTAAATGCAACAGAGGAATGGTGGTAGAATGGTTAAAAAGCCTTTAGAGGTTTCCAGTACTTTTCTTTATAATCCATCTCCCTTCATATAGCTTCCCATCATAGCAATTTCTCAGACATTTTTTGCAAATTTACTAGGCAAATGGACATAAATACACGTAGTTAGAAATACCAGCAGGATGGGTGTCCCTGCTATATTATTTCCCTTTTGTATGGAGAATGCTAAGAGGATTTTTGTTACAGGTAGTTCTTGTTTAGCGACTGCCTTGTATAGCAATCATTCGGTTACGATGGTGATGAAAAAGTAATTTTGCAACCGACCTCACATTTATGACCTTCGCAGGTCTGTAAAGGAAAGGAAAGCTGAAGTGAGATCGTAAACACAGTTGTGGTTTCCCTTAGCGACCGCTTTACTTAATGACCGAGTTGCTGGTCCCAATTGTGGCCGCTAAATGAGGACTACCTGTACTCCATCATGAGGGATAGGCGGGCAGTAGCTGGGAGGATGGATATTGATGGGAATATATTCTTTATACTCTCTGATTGGTCCACTGGAGGGAAGAGGATGGGGACTGATTGGCTAATGATGTTTTCTGTGTTTTGAGATTCAGTAGAAGTAAAGATAATTGCAATCCATTGCATGTTGCTTGGTGAATGATTGGAAGGCTGAAGATGTTGGGGTTGTGGAAGGATCCTTGGTTAGTACTTAGAGAGTAAGGCGAAAGATGGAAAGTAGCATTATACCATTAGGTAAAGATACAGCCTTCGAAAAGGTTATCCATCAACTGTGCCCTTCCTGACACCTAGCCAGCAACATTTCCCTAGGCCAGTGTTTCTTAGCCTCAGCAACTTTGAGATGTGTGAATTTCAACTCCCAGAACTCCCCAGCCAGCATGTGGCTGGGGAGTTCTGGGAGTTGAAGTCCACACATCTTAAAGTTGCCAAGTTTGAAAAACATTGCTCCAGGCTATCAGAATTCTTTTTAATCCCAGTTGATGTGGTAAGAATAGTAATTTTAAGAACTGGTGCTGCCTTTCTTAATCTTAGTTTGCATTTTTTCCCTCTTCTTCCCCTTCCCTTCTGTGCCATATCTTTTAGAGTGTATTCCTGAAGACAGAGCCTGTCAGTCATGATCATTCTGAGTTGCTCTTGGTGCTTTTTGGGTCAAGTAAAAATGCTTTAAATAAATAAACAGAAAGAGGAAGCCCCCATAAGCAATTCTTTGCATTCAGAAGATTGTGAGTAAAAGCATAGATAATCACACATAAGTGACTGACCCTTATCTGCCATTGGGCAAGATACTTGTCCATGGTTAATTGAACTGTGGTTTACTTAAGTTAATTGGATGCAGTGGGATTGCTCAACACATGCAACTATAAACTAACCACAGGGACTGAATTTGCACAGTGCATTAGGCTTAAAGGTGATTAGCTAGTTTGTGGTTCAGTATGTCATGCAAACACAGCCATCAAAGGGTTGAGATACTCAGGATTAGACAACTGAGCCAAATGAAACATAACCCAAGAACCTCTTTATATATAAGTTACATGTAAATGAAAATGAATTTAGAATGAAAATAGTATTAGTTTGTAAGGGGACTGATAATCAAGCCGTGAAGGGAAAGTTGAAGCTTCTCCTGCATAGTTGCTAGTGCTGTTGATATTGCGAGCTACCCACTCCCCAATAACACCATGAGGGGTTCCAGCCTTTAAATTGTTCAGGAACAATGTAAATGCTAATTAATTCTGCTAATGCTCTTTTTTGGGGGGGGCATTTTGGATGACTTTGTTTATGAAAGAAATAAACAAGTCACTAAACAGTTTATGGCATTTGTTCACTCAGACTCCCTTTATATATTGGAAGGACCCACTAGAAGCTGTGGAAAGGGGCTACTGCTTCTTCACAGAACCAGAATTGCTGTCCGTTTACTTTGGGAAGATGTTCCTTCTCTTTTTTTAAATCCTGTCCTTTTTACAAAGGAGCTCCAGAATGCATAACATAATTCTTCTCATCACAATAGAGAGGCAGGCTAGGCTGCAAGATCGTAACTAGCTTTGTGAACTTCGTTGAGGTTCAAAGGTGGCTTTCCATGATCCTGGTAAAACAAGAATCAGTAAATCTTGTTCTTTGTTGGTTAGTAGCTTGTGCTTCTTTTTCCAAAGCCCTCCACGATCCCAAACACCTCAAGATGTTCACAGAACTTCAGAAGTGGAGAGTCGTGCCAGCGGAGAAAAGAATAGCTCTCAGGTAAAGCCTACCTGTTCATAAAGATGCTCAGATAGAAATTGATCTGTTGTATGTAACGCCTTTTCTCAAAGGAACACTCCTGGGGAGATTGTATCTTCTACAGAGCCTCATTTATGGCTGGGAAATGTACTTCATAGTTTCCTAGCAAATCCATTTCAGTTTTGGCACCCCATTTGGAAAATCACTGCATGAATGGCACAGGCCTACTGTGGAAACTATCTACACACTAATGCTACTTGAAGGAAAATGCAGCTGCTGGGGCTTTATTTGTTCCAAGCATGTAACTCCCGCTCAACAAAATCTGCATTGGATACTCGTGAATTTCCTCTGCAGTATTTCTGTACATTGTGTCGCTTTCAGAATTAGCAACAATTAGCTAGCGTAAGGGAACAGCCTTTGCAGTCTATAGTGCTCTCTTCCCAAGGAAGTCAGTTGATCTTTTTTCAACAAGGAATCTTGCATGCTGGAAAAACTTCCCATTTGTGACTTGGCTTTGTCAGGGTTTTGCTACTTCTCAGTTGTGACTTAGTTCTGGAATGTCTTGCTTAGGGACGTACACCTGGTACCTACATTATTAACTTTGCTGCCACAGGCAAAAGTGTTAAAGATATTTAATATTAAAGCTATAACTGGGTTTTTAAACTGACCAGTGTCTGCTGTGTTTTTATAAATCACTGTTTACAAATGTTGTGATCGTAGTTTTAAATATATTAGATGGTCATTCTAGGATCGATATGTAATTCTGGTAAAATTATGTTACTTATTTAATATATTTACTAGGGCTATAAAACACTTTGGATAGAGGGCTAAAAGGTTTTAGGTGCACAGGGGTAGAAACGTAGCACTTGTCTGCAACTCTTCAAGCTAAATGCATCTTTTCTTAAGAATACATAGCTTTAAGAAGTTGCAAACAGGTGTCGCCTTCCTTCCATGTGCTCTGAAACAATATTTTTGCCTTTGCATCCAAAGCATTGCCCACCCCTAGAATTTATATTTTATTTTCTACAATTGCATCTCAAAGTGCTTTGCAATAAAAACAGTTAAAATACAATGATGTCAACCAGGTTACTAGTCTATGAATAACAATAACTAGGCCATCCCTGCCTCAGAAAGAGTGTAATTGTTATGCCAGCTGAAGTTGGTAATGTGTCCCTGGTCAGGGAGGCCACTTGGGCCTTCAGTGATAATGATGACCCTAGGAGCAGCCAGAAACAACACAGCTTTTCTTTCTGAGGGACTGCAACCCCATTTATACCAAGCAATTTCCCTAGTTTATTTGATTCAGACACCAGGGAATCTATCTTGTCAAGATCCAACCTCATACAAACTCAGACTTGGTTGAATTAGCTTGGCCTGACTCGGATACTGTGGGGAAGTAGAGTTGAGCATTGTCAGAATGTGAAACCTAGCTTTCAAATTCCTGTTGGTTTAACATCAGATGGAAAATGTGAGCCCATTATATAGATCCATGTGGCGCTCTCATTGTATCTATTAGTGGCTCCTTAAAGAAGATGCATCTTTTCTGAGGCTTTGTGCCTCTTTAATACCTCTTTCACTCAACCCCTGTGTACTTGGGCTTGTGTAGCTACTATGCAAGCCCAGGAAAAGACACAACTTCTTTAAGGAGCAGCTGAATGGCCCCGCGAGGTTGCCTATCCTGGATCCAAAGTCCCCTCGCTCACTTGCATACTTCTGTTCTGAAAGTGGATCCAGGTCACCTGATTGTACCTAATTTCCTTTCAGTCTGAAGAAGATTTTCTGGAAAGAAGGAAAGAAGTTGAACAGCTTCTGAAGAAAAATTCAGATTGGATGTGGGACTGGTCCAGTAGGCCTGAGAATATTCCACCCAAGTTAGTGATCTTGATAATGAACAATGCAGATTTGTTTATTTCAGTTATTGTAAATATAAATTGGGTTATAAACAGTTATAGGTAAAATGTTTTTGTCTTCTCATAAACCAGGGAATTTCTCTTTAAACACCCTAAGCGCACAGCTACCCTCAGTATGAGGAACACAAGTGTGATGAAGAAGGGAGGCATATTTTCTGCTGAATTCTTGAAGATTTTCTTACCATCTCTGCTGCTTTCCCATCTGCTTGCCATTGGATTAGGGTAAGGATCTATTTAGATAATCTGCTTGATCAGCTAGAAGTCTAGTGGTCTATACTATTAGAGACCACCGTGGATTTTTAAATTATGCTTCTAATCTAGGCAAAGAAAGATGATTTTGAAAAATTACATTAAAAAAAATCTAGAATCTAGTCCAGTGTTCTTCAGCCTTGGCAATGTCAAGACACGTGAACTTCAATTCCCAGAACTTCCCAGCCAGCATGCTGGCTGGGGAATTCTTGGGGTTGAAGTCCCCACATCTTAAAGCTGCCAAGGTTGAGAAACACTGATCTAGTCCATAGATTTGTATCTATAACCATACCATTCAGACTCACATCCAGGACAAGAGAAGTGAGGTTTAAAATGCAACTCCAGTTCAAATTAAGCAGAACACTTACTGGTTGTTTTTACGTTTCAGGATTTATATTGGAAAACGGTTGACAATCACAGCTTCCAGCAGCTCATTGTAAGAGGAAATGAATTTGTCTCTTTTGCAAATCATGACAGCATTCATCCAGGCATATAAAATGGTGAACAGAAGGAACTCCCAAATGTGTAATCATAACATGGCAATGTATGTTTTATTGTGTAAATGGCTGTTGCAAAAGGAAAGGAAGAAAACCCAACTACCAAACTGCTTCTGTATGTAAATTCCTATTTGCATAGTTTAATATAGTGTAGCTTAGATCGGGAGCGGGGAACCAGAACTACAACTTCCAGCAAGCTCCAGCTTTGTGGCCAGTAATAAAGGATATTGGGAGATGTTCAGCACGTGCAGTGACCCACATTTCATTATCCCCGGTTGAAGATTTTTCTTTGATATTATTACAAGAACGAACAGCGTGGCAAAAAAACTAAACAAAAGCATTCACTGTGGACACATGGGAAGGAATTAATGTGCAGTTTTGTTTTTGTGCAGTTGTGTAAAGACTAGTAGAGGGTTGTCCTTGATACCACTGTAATGTCAAAAAAGGAGAGCTGTAGTCAACAAAAGTAGAATGGCCTTACATTTAAGAGTGCAATTTTGTTACTTGAGCTGAAATTAATTAGTGAGATACTTTGAAATGTAATCATGAGTCAATGCAGAGTCTTTTGGTCTGTGTATGTGTGTTAATATGGAACCTTTTCTTTCTGTTTTCAGTGAATGTTTATATGCAACTGTTGAGAAGATGGTTTAGTAGTAAAGATCTGATTTTTTCCAAAGTCAGCCAAAACTTGTGTGGTCAGGAAACTTTTAAGAAGGAAGGTCCCGAGGAATCTCTTCCAAAAAGCCCATTGAGGGAAGCTAGCCTTGGCCATCCCCTTCTCCCCTCTTGGTTGATAAACATAAATTTCTTGCCTCTTAATGGCCTAAATCATCACCAACAAATCAGAGTGGGGTAGCTGGATCTGCCTTTTTAGTCACAAATGCTGTAGCTGTTAGCCAGTGATCTGGTCTGGGTGAGTACATAGGAATTTACTCTCTGGGTGAATGATGGCACTTCCAGAAGAGGTACCCAGTTGTCAAGTGCTCCTTTGCGCTCTACTATTTCCACATTGGCTTGCTTCTTTCCTTCTTCTGTAGGTGCACAAAGAGCTGGGAATGGAGAGAAGCATGGCTTTTTCTCTCCAGCAGACTGCTGGGTTTTTATTCTAAATATGCAGCAGGCCAGATCCCTGCTATAGAGAATGGAAACACAGCATAATGGCAAGGGACAGCTGACTGATGCTGTCTCCTCATTCTTTCCACATGCTCAACGTTGAGCCAAAGGGTCTGGCAGAAGAGTTAAGGAAGGTTAGTTTCTTGCCGGAAAAAGATCTTACGCTTCTGTGTTTTATTCTTAAGGTGGTTTGCAAAGGATACGTAATAAATAATAAATAATAAAATAAATAAGTCCATCCAGGCTTCCCTACCCCTTGCAGGCTACAAAGGTTGGGGACTAAATGTACAAGGCCTGTGCTAGGTACTAATGTGTGTTTCAATGACCCCCCCAAAAGAAAATGAAATTTTATGGGAGGATACACTTGTGCTGAAAGCTATGAGCAAAGGCCACAATAGAATCTGAAAGTTCAGCACTGATTTGACATTGTTTTAAACCCTCTTGTTATACATTTTAGCTGCCCAGGGGCTACCCTAATAAGGCTTGAGATTTACTTCTTGGTAAATGAAAAGAACGCATTGTAGCATCTGTTACTCTTATTTAAAGGTTTCATTGTTCATTGATTACAATAAAGAATGAGATTTGTTTAGGATTTAACATGTATGAACTGGACGGTACAACTTGTTCAATAAACTGTCATTTTAAAAAATCTGGCTTAGCTTTATATGTGAAGGCAGCCTCTGGGTTACAACATGCATAGCATTGCAAAAAGGCTGGCTTGATTAAGCGCTTCCATAGCTATGCTCTCAAGAGTCCTCTCTGCTTAATTTAAACCTTCCTGTGGCAAGTTGTGGGAGGGATAAAGTATCAGTCTTCTCTATCTGCTCGATAGAAGCTAGAGAGGAAGCCTATTGAGCAGGGATGCACACAAAGGGGGGTCAAAAAAGTCAAGATGGCAGCCACATCCATGGAAACAAAGTCCCACCCCTTTTTAATGTGCATTGAGTAAAGAAAGAGTAGGGTTTCAATCATGCAATGGCAGCTGCTGTATTTTCTTTTGGACCCCCTCCCCATCAGATGCTCCTGCCATTATGGGCTCCCTGATTAAAGTTTGTTTTACTGTTTTTGGGGGGGGGACGCCTGGAAGAGTCATGGTTGACGTACATATTTCATGAAACATTGAAATATTTCATGGAACCTGCTAAAATCACCTGCTTACAGTACTAGAAGTGTAATTGGATAAAAAATCTTATTTGATATAGACTGACTTGAGCTACTCTTGGATTAGGAAGAGTAGTTCAAGATCACCTGGCATCTACCTGCACTAGGTATTGTGTTTCTGTTGTATCAGTGTAAAAACTGATTTTTTCACACTGATTTTGATCTTCTCATTTGGCACATGTAACTTATTTTATGCTTGAGTTAGAACTGGAATTAATAGCTTTTACTGTGCATCATGGCACTCAGATCATCCTATTGTATTCACAAGCTTGCATAATTTGGAGTAATACTATTTGATCAACTAATAGCTTGGCTTTATTTTACTGTTAATATAGTTGCTATATATTTATACAGGTGTGGGCGCCACAGGTTTTATAAGGACATTGTCTTGAACAGATTCCTTTATCCACTTCAGTGTTAAAAAACAGATAGGCTCAAATGGATAGGAGCTGTGTAAATGGGTTGACGTTTAACTGTAAATGGGTTAACATAAACTGCCATTCAGAGACCAGATTTGTTTTCAGATGATAGAGACCTTTATCGCAGTGATTGCAAATCTAAGTAAGCAAGCCGTTGTCTGAGAAGAGAAAGTTTGTTCTTTTAAGTTTCAGCTACTGGAAGCTGTCATAAACTTTTGAAATGGGGATTTGCTTTGTCTTGATCTCGTAAAAGATAGCCAATATTACAGTATTCTCAAAATTGCTTGTTCTTCTATTAGCTATTGTTTGATCACATTGTACTGCTACAGATTTCACTTTATTAATGGAAGTTTGTACAATTGTTGTATGAGAATGTCACTATTGGCTATCATATCAGATAAATGGAGAGCATATAAAATGGTTATTTTTCAGCTTTTTATCAAGTCAGTAAGCTGTGAAATACGACATTAAATGCCTGTGTTTTCGTTGCTATTGTGCTAAACCAATAAAGGAATAAGTAAACTTGTATGTTGCTTTTGAATTCCATAGTGCACCAGTGTATGATGAAACTAAATAAATTCTATTCTGGGGTTATTTTCAAAAGTCTTCCTTGGAAATTGAAGTAAGATAGTAACACAGATGTGCCACCTTAGAAAATAAAGGGCTGAAGCATAAGCAAACAGATATATCCATTTAGAATTTTTAGAGCATTTTTTAAATGGACTCATATGACTGCCTGGCAGAGATGGTGCAATGTCAGAATAGCCAATGTTAGCTGCAGCCAGTAATAAAACCCTCTAAACAGAAGATGTTTCCTGTACCTACTACCAGATGCCTCCTACCACATCTAGTTTAGATTTGCTTTTTTCTAGTCAGCTGAGAACACATCTAAAGTCCTGTATTTTTTCCCCCTAAAAATGTCTACAGCCCTATGTGAAGTTGATGGTAGAGCATATTTTGCTTTATATCAGTTCCTTATTTGGCTTTTGGGAACATAAATTGAAACTTACAATCAGGCAAGGCAATCATGAAGGCAGTCTCCGTAGGCTGTGAATACTCATGAGCATAAAATGTGTCATAAATAATGAAGAGCCAGATAGTTAAATTAATCCAATCAGACATGCAGAAGTCAGCAATGCCAAATCAGCTTTACAAACAATGTGAAAAAAGGCCTTTCTTAAAAAAAAATTGTCGCAATACAAGTATAGCAAATACTTTTCACTGTAAATTCCATTGATAAATTTTTTCCCATTGAACTCCTTAAATACTGATTTCCTTTCCTATCAAGCCAGAAATGCTTGATTCAACATGACCACCCCCAAACTGACAAACTTTTATTGTGAAGCTACAGCAGGACATAAGCGTGAAGACTTTTTTTGATCAGAATTTATAGCAGTCATATGGAATAAAATGTCCCATTATCAATGTACTGGACCTGTACTTTGGCCCTAAGGATCTGTAACTACTAATCTATTTTTAAACAAAAATTAATACAGCTATTAAATTACATGCAATGAACAACTAAATATAACCAGCAGCTCTAGTTGAAAACTAAATGTATGTTAACCATCACCACCCCTCCCAAATCTTTGCAAAACAATCACCCAGTGTAGTGTAGCAGTGAAGGTGTTGGACTAGGTCAGGGAGACCCAGATTCGATTTACTTTGGGCTCAGGAACTTAGTCTGGGCCAGTCATTCTCTCAACCCAACCTACTTCAGAGAATTTTGTTGTACAAATAATCTCTAACCAAATTGTCGACTCATTTCTGACACAGCACTATCCTCTTATGTGTAACTTAACATGTTTGGCAATTTTATCCTCTAACTGCAATGTTACTTTAACTCCAAATCAAACAGTGATACCGCATCAAAACCAGAGCAGAAACACAAGCTGCAAGAAGTGAATTAAGGATCAGGCTTGAGAAAAAAAATAATCAGAAATAAATTCTTGTAGGACATGTGTTACTCAAATTCATTTTACCTGAATGCCTGTTTTATGCAAGATGGTCTCTCTCAAGCAAGATGCATGGTGCACGATGATAAAAAAATAAAAGTACAGTTTCAATATATACAATTACCAGGTGGGTTTTTGCATCAGCACTAAAGCACTTTTGACTTTTCTGGGCCCAACTGTAGATCCACGGCTGGTTAGGTTGATAAAAGAAATGCAAAACTTTCTATGAACAGTTTAAAAACAAATTATTTGGATTTTACATGGAACAATTCCTTAAGTACAAATATTAAAAGTAATATATTACCTTCAGTGCAATTTTGTTGAACCAAAATCATAGTGCCTTGATATTTTGTCTCAGTCCAAGTATTTCACTTTTCTTCTATTAAGTACTGTATGCTTCCTAAAACAAATCTCTATTTGAATTTAGGATGTAAAATGATGTTTTGGAACCCAAGAAACCTCTATAGAACAAGACCTTGATGGAGCCATTCCAACTGAAAATCTTAACATCTTTGATATGCTAATTTATCATTAACAATAGGAAATAAACATCTCAGCCTTGGAAATCTATGGTCTTTGGTAGGATGGAATACATTTCAGATGCATGAAATAATCACTTAAACATGTAAACACATTAAAAAGAGTAAGATTGAAAATTGAAAGAGGAGGAAAAAGTAGATGTTTTCTATTTCCATGCAAAATTCAAATGAGAACCGGATCTAGTAAGAATCAAAGTAACCTACTCTCAACCACTACCTGGTATCATTAAACTAGCACAGTACTGTACAATGAATATTAAATATATTTTTAAAAAGCATTTAATGCAAATTTAGAAACAAAAAAGCCACTGAAAAAGTTTAAAAGTACACAGTGTAAATTCAGGTAAACATTTAAAATTTATTAAACTTTTTGATCAAAATAATAGAACAATTATATACAAACCCATTGTATTTGTTTTGCAGGAGGGCAGGGAGGGAACAAAGTCAATCTAATGGTTAAATGACCTACCAGTTCCACATTTCAAGATTTGCAAATAGTGTCACAACTGATATACAGTATATGATTTTTATTTTTTACTTTTAGATCCACCAAGTTGGTGTTAGATTCTGAGAAAGAGTGGCACTCCATGGACATTAATTGACAGGATAGGAACAAAGACACATTCCTCTTGCATACTCATACTTGACTTTAATAATCATATTAAACCTTCATTTAATTTAAAGCGTGAACAAGTCACCCTATCTTTTATTCAGGAAGCTCAAAAGGCCTGAATTTCAAGGGGTATTTTATAGGCACATTCAGCAGTTAAGTTTACAGAAAGTGGAAAATACTTTATCTATTGAAATTGTGCCCATTACTATTTCTGGTTAGGTTTACTCCCAGAGATGTTTACAGTGAAATACAGGAGTTATTCATACATTTTCTAAGAAAAAGATCACTAAAGTGATGTATTTTTCTTTGCCCCCATTCCTAGTGGAAATTTAGCATTCTATAAATATATTTCCACATCAGCCTTAAGTCAGCCAGGTCTCCTGGTGTCACAGGCCCAGATTAAGAGTAAAATATATCTAAATGTGTTCCTGTTTGGCATAATTAATTTTAAAAACATACGAGGTTGAACTGCAGTGGGAATATGCTTGCATCTGCTTATGCCTAGTTGTAGTATTTAAAAAATACCTTCTTCAAAACAAAGAACTAAGGGTAAAAAAAAGCAATGCACATTAATGTATGCACATTACCATTAATTATAAAGCATATTTACTATTAACCAGAAAATGATTGAAGGTTCTGATGTACATGGCCTATTGTGTTTCTTTAAGGCTACATGTAAGTAAAGGGGTGTTTTTCACACCTCTTTTGTGCATACCGTATGATATTTTTAAAAAAATATATAAAAAAAAATACAAACTAGGGTAAAGACAACTGGATATAAATTTCAATTTAGAGTTTGAAGCAGTAGGACACTACATGAAACTGCTTATTTTGTCTAAATCAATATTTTTGGGACAAACTATTTCCAAATCTTTCCATCAGGTATCTTGCACAATCTCAATACATGCAATAAAAAAGACTGAATACATACTTTCAGATTTAAAAACACTTTTTATAGTTTGTTATTTTTATTAAGTGGTTTACACCAGAAGGTGTGGTTATAGATACAGTTGGTGAGTAAATATACATGAAAAACCTGTCTACACACCCAACTCTAGACTTACCTATATGCTCAAAGGTAGAAACACCTAAAGCTTAGATGAAGGCCAGAGAAAGAATGTTTACAGGCATAAAGCACAAATATATGTTTTGAAAGGCCCAAATATTACAGCAGATAAAGAGCATGTGAGATAGAAATTACATTTTTATGACAATTTGTTTCTTGGGTGTTAGATTTTTGGTCTATCAACTGGAAAGGAAGGCTCAGACTTAAATAAATACATTTGTTTTGAATATTGACTTTTATTAAGTATTGTCCATCAATTCTGCTTCCAGTGGGCTTTCCTTGTTTACAAAAAATCAATTCCATGTTCCCCCCTCACTGAAGGCAGAAATACACCACGAACTCAAGTCCAGGCCAGCTTCTCTCCTTTGCCTATAAAGGGAAATAAGTGCATCAATGTTCTTTACTGGAAGGACAACAAGGCCATCTCTGACAGATAAACAACTGAGCTTAACTATTCAAGACGACAACTTTGTCCTCAAATAAGCCGTCTTTAATTAATTTTGTCCTGGAATATATACAAGTTATTGGTTGCAGCTACAGCAATGATGTTCTCCGCAGGGTGCCACGCTGTATGAAGGATCTTCTTGTTGAAGTCCAGACTGTCAACACTTATTTCATCTTTCTTTCTCTTGCCACCTGTACACACTTTCCGGGGTTTTAAGATTGCTCGAGGTTTGCTACTTTCTCTTGATGCCTCTAATGTAATATCTCGCCGTGTGTTTCGATCAAACATCCTAAAGAAGTTGTTGTAGGAGCCAGTCATAATGGCACTGCATGAAAGAAAGAACAATGTTTTACTTATTCATTACATCTGTATGAAAATAATTATGTTATGAATGTCTGTACAAATAATCACCCAATTTCCCTCTTCTTGACATTCACCAAGTCAGATAACAGAGCTACAGGACCGACACTTACTTTATCCTATTTTTTAAATAAGAACTATTTCATTTATTATTTTAAAAATTCATACATACATAATTAAAACTATCTTGAAACTTAAAAAACTGTTAAAACAATTAGAAAAGAGACAGCCCCAAGCAAACAATATGAACTAAGAAAGAAAAAAATAATAAATCTACCTTGAATTTCATACTTATCAATAGTCACTAGTTTACCAATGATTACACTATTGTAACATGATCAGTACAAAATATTATTGTAAAAATATCACAAAATCCAGGAATGAGAATGAAAATGTGCCTGACTATTGTAATGGATTGAACTTTTTTTTGTAAAAGGCTCAATTATTCAGCTAAGCATTATTCAACCTGTTCTAGAAGTTGTATCCTAAGCAGAGACATCACCTTGCCGACAAAGATCTGCATAATCAAAGCTATGGTTTTTCCAGTA